CAAGCGACACAAAGAAACCAAGAAAGCAACTTTAAATCAGAAACTTCCACACCACAGCACAGCAGCTTCTAAGGTAGGCTCATATATATATATATATATATATAGCTAATTTATTCATTTTCTTGTCGGCTTAGTCCCTTTATTAATCTGGGGTCGCCACAGCAGAATGAACCGCCAACTTAACCAGCAAGTTTTTACACAGCGGATGCCCTTCCAGCCGCAACCCATCTCTGGGAAACATCCACATACACACACTCATACACTACGGACAATTTAGCCTACCCAATTCACCTATCCCGCATGTCTTTGGACTGTGGGGGAAACCGTAGTACCCGGACGAAACCCACGCGAACGCAGGGAGAACATGCAAACTCCACACAGAAACGCCTGTTGCTATACATATATATAGCAGCTGGGCATAGTGAATCTGAAAGCAAGTTGGGCCGCGGTCACACTAGAGTTTTTGCTTGCAAAATTCTTTCGTACAGCGCAGCAAAAAAGGGTGGGATAAGACAATCCAAAGCGACTGATTGCTCCATATAGCTCATGTTTTGATCTTCTATTGGTCTCATGCACTCACGTGATGCGAGTTTCAAGCTTTGGTCTTACCTTTGTGGAGTCCACTATTAAATCTGTCATGCAGCTATATATTTATAATTAGAAAATAATTACGTCACAAGTTAAATTATTGTAAAGGCAGTTTATACAGGGTAATTCAATGACAAGAGTTCACTTTCTTAACTACACAATGCAGAACTTTTAATGTGATTAACCTGCTCCACCTACACCAACTACAGCATTTCTCAGATTTCTTTTTCACTATGGTGTAATTACAGTGGTGAACATCACATACAACAACAACTGCACTTACTCCTGTAACTTGTTTGCAACAATGAAATTTAAATATCTGTTTCACATATTCATTTAAATAAATGCTCATCATCATGTGCAGTCATCTTTATTAATAGCTGCCTAATAGGCCAGACCATTAACTGAATAGTATTGTTTTACATATATGAAACCTGTTAACAGGTATAGCTGTTCATGCCAATATCAACTTGATAACCTAAAGCATATTACATGAACAGGACCTGCCTAACATCTCTTAAGACAAATAAGCATAGTGTCTATAACAATACATGCTTGATTGCCCAGATCATTACATCTGAATGGTGCCTTTTCGTAAGCATAGTTCTTCACCAATACCAGTTTAATACCTCAAATAAAGACACAGATGTGAGGCGTCACAGTGGTGCAGTGGGTATCACGATCGCCTCACAGCAAGAAGGTTGCTGGTTCGAGCCTCTACTGGGTCAGTTTGTATTTCTGTGTGGAGTTTGCATGTTCTCCCCGTGTTCGTGTGAGTTTCCTCTGGATGCTCTGGTTTTCACAAAGTCCATAGACATGCGGTGTGTGTGAATGAGTGTGTTTGCATGTTTCCCAGTAATAGTTTGCAGCTGGAAGGGCATCCGCTGTGTAAAGCATGTGCTGCTGGATAAGTTGGCAGTTCATTCCACTATGGTGACACCTGATTAATAAAAGGACTAAGCTATAAAGAAAATGAATGAATATATGAATAATATTACACGAGTATCAGTTTCTGTATTTCTGTTTGTTTTAATGGCCAGTTGATATTGCAATAAAAAAATTAATAAATCAATTTTAAAAAAGCAGTGCGATGTGGCTCTCAAGAACGATTGTCCCACTACCTTTTGTTTCAATCCCCTGAGAACTTTGGTCATCTTCAGAATGCAAATGAAGACAATTTAGATGAAATCAGAGAGCTCCCTCATCTGTTCCCTCATCTGTCATAGACAGCAAGAGTCCAGAGATGCTTGGTTTGACAGTGGTTTTTCTGGAAAAGTAACCAAAAACATTGTCAAAACCTGTGAAGTGACTTTAGTGGTTCAATTGTAATCGAGTTCCAAGAACATTTTGAGTGCCAGAAAATGTTGAAAAAAAGCAGCCATGTCCAAAGTAGGAGCTGTTAAACCATGTAGTGGCTGCTTCTTGACTCTGTAGCCTATTCTCCTTATTTGCATTCAGCAGAAGAAACTCAAACAGGTAGTAAGGGTAAATGAAATATTATTACTGAAGATATTGCTAAAGAATGGCAGAAAACGTGGAACACAGCTAATAAGAGATGACAATTCATTTGAAACAATAAGAAACACTATATAGGCCTATAAAGTTGTAAAAATAGAAAAGAAAATAAGGGGTCATAATTATGAGGATGAGATTTAGACTCTCATATATTAATAGTAAGTAATGTGTTGTAGACATGCAAGCCATCATGAACTGGATTAAAAAAAAGTTTCTCAAAATTGTCTTAAAATGTTTAGATTAAAAAATTTGATCAACTTTAAATACTAAAGTGTGTGTTTGTGAGAGAGATCTAATCTATTTTAATTTTTATTAATATTTTTTTATTTGATCAATATTTTTATTTTTATTTATCTATTTTTATTTTATTTATTTCTGTGTTTTTTCTGTATTATATTTTATATCCATATTTGTTTGCACTACTGTCGTGTTTGTACGTATGCAATATGAATGTACAGTTATTTGTCATGCCAATAAAGCACCTAAAATGTGAAATGTGAGAGAGAGAGAGAGAGAGAGCAGAAATAGTATAGAGTGAAAAACAAGGGAGACATGTATCAATAAGTCATGACTGCAACAGTAAGGGGCAAAAAAGCTAAACAAAAAAAGACTTTTATTTTGGCGTGGTGTGTGACGTCATCAGGCGGCGCCGCTTCAGCGCTTTGATTCGCGTGATTTTTTTTCCCAAACCAGTTCAGCGCAAACCACGCCCCCTACGCGAAAACCCCACCCCGCTGCTGTGACTCACGTCCGTGGCTCGATTTCATTGGTCCAGCAGCTCCAGCTTTATCACAATGGCAGCGAACACAAACTATTTTTTAATAAAAGACCTAAAATACGAAAGGTTAACAAAGTGCGTGTATGAAATAAAACGTAGTACAAACAATCTACAGCTTATATAAAAAGCTGTGTTTAATGAATAAAAATAGTGCCAAAAATACATGAAGTAAACACACACACAACAGCATCTTAACAATGAGGAAACTTTACTCAAGTACAAAAACCAGCAAAAAACACACAAACATAATATTTATTTAAAAAACATTTTTATATATTATTAATTTAACACAGCCCCTGCATGCAAACATAACCTCTTTATCTTTCGCTGTCTAGTATAAAATAGTTAAATTGAAAGATTTATTCTGACAATATCTTGTATTAATTCAGAGAAGTGGGATAGGAATGTGTATAATTTGTTGTCAAAATTCAGATATTTTGCAAAATAACCCTTTTTTTTATTAAAGAATGTTACATTTGTGGTATCAAATTTGAAAATATTTGAAATATATAATGTTTAATGAAACTAAAAGGTCCTGTTAGACTCAAATTTAAAGAATTAAATTATTTATTTATATTGTCAATGCTTTGGGATTTGTGGATATTTCTTTTATAATATTGAGTAATAAATGATTTACTGAGTAATTAAGTTTTTAATTAAATTGAATAAAAAAGTAATTTAAAATACAATTGTATTTATTTTTAAATTATAACTAGTAATAATCAATAATGAATTACGTTTTCAGAGTAACTTACCCAACACTGCACATAATCTGCATATCAGATGAAAATCAACTGAAGCACAAGCACATTGAACTATACCTGTTTCTATACAGAGTTTGAATGTTTAATAACTGCAAATGAGACCAACATATGTTCTGCAGGCCTTTCAAATAAGGCTTTCATTTAATGCTGAAAACAAGTTAAAATTGATCATATGATTCCTCTCACAGTGCCTATTGTTTTACCTTTAATGACCAGAAAATGAGAATAATCTGTTGGACAGCAATAATATTCATTGTTAGAGCCCTCCCATAAAAAATAAATAAACAATACCCATTTTGGTAACACTTTATAATAACTACATGCTAATAATGTATTAAGCATTAGCAAATTTAATTCATCATTTGTTAAGCATTAACTCTACATTAACAGAAGTTATTAAGCAGTTTGTAACTACAGATACAAATGCTCTATTCTTGATTTATAAGCACATCTATAATGTGCTTAATGATTGTATTTTCATACTTTGTTAATACTAATTTTTTCAATACTTAAGTATTGTATCATTTACAAACCAATTATTTGAGAGTACTTTGTGGCTTTTAAAGATCATTTAGAACGCATAAGTAAATAATAAACCATTCAAATTAACATTTATATATCTTATTATTCAGGCATATACTAATAATTAATTTGTATGTTAATAAATGCTTTAGTATTTTAACTTCATCCAGTTTTGTGACCTAATCTAAAGTGAGGACTATTTATGCTTTATAAATCCCTTATAAATAACAATTAAAGGCTCAGTTATCTTCTAAACAGGGGAAAAAATTCGACTTGATTTATTTCTTATCATTTGAAGATACATGAATGAATCTGTATCAAATGAAAAATACATTTTTGCAATCTTAACTAAAATAAAGTTACCGTACAGTTTAAACTTCGCTAAATAACATTATAATGTTGCATCATAATATATTGTTAAATTATTATATTGTTGTTGTTTTTTTATCCAATTTTATGTCGTATTTTGACATTCCTGTTATTCGGCAATGTTTAAACTTTACAGTAATTTTATTATTTAGATAGGATTACAAAGATGTACTGTTCATTTGACACTGAGCCTTTAATTGCCATTTATTAGGGATTTATAAAGCATAAATTGTCCTCACTTTAGAAATAGGTAGAGTGGCTCTGATAGGCTAGTTGGCTTTTGCAGAGGTGGCCAATCCTGGAGCTTAGTTGGTGGCATCAGTGGCTCTGGAAGCGTTGGCTATGGCAGCAGCAGATCTGCCAGCTCTAGCACCACGGGCTCTGGCAGTTTTGCTGGAATGGGTCTGAATGTGGTTGAGGCTTTGTGAGCGGTTCTGTTGACAGTAACTGGTGAATCTGGCAGCAATAGCTCTGGTGGCAACTGGCAGCTCAGGCTCTGACATGGTGGCATCTTAACAGCGTTAACTCTTGCAGTGGTGGCAACTACAGTGACCCCTACAACCTTGTGCCTCAATGCACATTGTACAAGCGCACAGAGGTTGAGTAAGTGGGAATATGGGGATCATTGTTCCTGAAAAAAAAATAATAAATTACACAAAGAAACTTAAAAAAAAATATTAGTACAATTTTGACATTTCTAACTCACCTACTTGATCCTCCCCTTTTGTCTACAGTCTTTACCAAAGTGCAAACCCTTTTTGCCCCACAGCATATTTTTGGACAGCCGTTGTTGACTAGCCATGCCTGATCGAACATGAACATTGTGCTGGCACCTTTAATGAGCCCACAGAAAAAAATATAAATGTTTAAATGTTTAAGTGTGCAGAAATGTTAGATATTTTTATTTTACATTTAGAAATTTCAAACGTTTACAACAATGATGCAGCAGTATTCTAAATGATCTGTCAACAAAACATACAGGAAATCTGTAGGACATGTATGTAGCATTTGTTCTCAGATTCATTCATTATTTTAATGAAGCATTTTTACCTAAAGATCACCTCAGATGAGATAAGTGAGTGAAAGTTTACTTTGTTCTATAAAAGCAAGGTTTTGTTGTTTTTGTGAGTATCCACAAATAAAAAAACAGTTGCTGCTTTGAATGGTCATTCTCTTATCTTAATGACCAAAATGACAGAATATTTAAAGATTTACACTGCCATTAGAAAAAAAAATACATATATACACACACACACACACACACACACACACACACACATATACAAGCATACCTGCAAGTTTGTCAATATCGTGAGTTAAAGCTTTTATGCAGTGAATATTGGATACTTTTAATTATTTAGCATTTAAATCAAATGAATAAATGCCCATCATCACAGACAAGCATGCAGGCAGTAAATCACTAAATGTCTCAGAAAGTTATATGTTTATTAATAAGGACTGTCATCAATATAACCATTGCAGCTATTTTATCTGCACAGACTTGTTTCTAGGTGGTCTGTCAACTCACAGAAATCATGTATATTTAAACTAATCAGAGGACGACTGAGGATCTTTAAAAAGGTTTCCAGAAAAGTGTGCCATATGCATCAGAAGTTGCTTGGCATGATGTCTGAGGCTGAGACTATATGATTTCAGAATCACTGTGGCTGTGCATATGAAAATCTGTCTATCCAGTCATCTATCCATATGACCTGTCCTAAGTTTATACAAATACTGGAGCCATCACAAGGGTAAAAATCTCACTGGACTATTACAAATCATTAACCAAGTCAATGTTAACTGAGATTTCTAACTGGCACACTAAAGCAAAATATATTAATAAACATCTCAATTTGTGTGAAGAATCTAAAATTTTTGAACAGTAGAACTATGTATGTTTACAATATTTACTGTAAAGTTATTTTCAGTGTGTTACATATATATAGTGTAACAAAGAATGAACTGATTTGACATTGTCCCTTTTTAGGTTTTGTCACTGCCACTCTCCAACTTACTCAAGACTCACTAAGTTTTTTTATCCATTCCTTTACTCCCCAAATCTCTCAATGCATTTTTTAGAATTGCTTCAAAACATGTGTGGCCCAAATGTGATTTACTGTTTGTACGGCCTAAGCGATAGGTGCAGAAGTGGTATTTATTCTCGAGGCAACCAGTTCTGTAAAAGTAGAAATAATTTACCTGAAAGAGTGTTCACCCATAAACATTTTAACTGAGAAATCCCAAAATTTTACAGTAAGCCAAGTTTATTACAATAAAAGTAATAATAATAATTTATATTATTTATAAATCTTTTAATGTTGTTCAAACGTTTGAGATCCATATTAGCTTTTTTTGCTCATCAAGGCTGCATTCACTTTAATAAAAATACAGAAAGTTGCATTATTGTGAAATGTTAATAAAATTTAAAGTAATATTTATATTTTGATGTAAATCGATCATTTATTCCTGCGATGTGAAAGCTGAATTATCAACATTATCACTCTAGTCTTAAGTGTCACACCATAGTTCAGAAATCATTATAAATGCTAATTTATTATCATTGTTGGAAACAGTTTAATTAAATTAGTTTTCAGTCAATAAGAAACACATTATTTTAACTTCAGCATTTATTTAATTCTGTATTTTGGATTAATTGAAGCATCCTTCTATAAACAAAATTACAATCCTTGCTGATCCCAGATTTTTGAAAGACTGTGTGTACTAAATTTGTAATTTGTGTGTTAAATAAAAAAAAAAACTATGTATTTTTTACCTTTAGATCCGCAGCTTGGTCTTTGGGACTACAATCGTAACTTACTCTCCTGAGGGCGATCGAAAATGATAAAATAAAGATAAAATAAATAAAATGAACACTATAAAAAAAACATACAACTCACATCTCCATGAATAAATTATTAATATTAAACATTATTAAGCAAGAAGTGTTTACCGTTTGTCAACGATAGATCCATTAGAGACGAACTTGATTGATGTGCACTCTGAACTTCTTTCTCAGACGACAAGTAACAACGTTGCCCAATGAAATCGCGCGTGTCACAGCTGCGGGGTGGGGTTTTAGCGTAGGGGCGTGGTTTGCGCTGAACTGGTTTGAGAAAAAAAATCACGCGTGTGGTATATTTGCCGACGTATAACAGAGACTGAAACATTGCTCACACTTGTCTGAGGTGGTCATTTTGACTGCAATCTTGTTTTAGGTTGGCACTTTGTTTTTGAATATTGTATGCTTTTCGAATGCGTATCTGTGCTGCAGTAGAACGCCTTAGCCTCACAGCAAACATTTTGGTTTACAAGCTGTCACTGCTGTCTTCCCAGGAGAGTGGCTGTACTGGTTTCTTCTGGAAGTCCTGAGGGATGTACGGGACCAAGACATGAGAGCGGTTGGGGCAGCCTTTGAACCCAGGAGAGCACCCCACAGGCTCTGTGCTGGCGGCCCCAGAAACTCGATTCACTCCAGAGTAGAACCGAACAACTCCGGCAGGGGAAAACCGCGACCGCACTGCACTGAGAGCAACGCAAAAAAATCCTGAACGAGCCAGCCAGGAGTCGAACCTAGAATCTTCTGATCCGTAGTCAGACGCGTTATCCATTGCGCCACTGGCCCAGTCCGCATCGGCAGTGCTCATTAGCATGGTCCTTGGAAAGAGGACACGGCTCGGTGAACATGGAGTTCCTTAAAAGCATGCTTTGCTTTGTTGTCATGGCAAGTTGTGGTGTCGATAGGATGCTCTTACACCGAGCATGTGACAGTCCCTCCCAAGAAGAACTGTGATCCAGGCTCTGAGACTTTCTCTTCTCCGGGAGGAGGTTGCAAACGTTAGTTATTTTTGTCAGAGCAGCTGCAGCACACCTGGGTGGAGGCCCACAGCTAGACTTGAGGCCAACCTTTACGCACACCTTCCCTGGTGGTCTAGTGGTTAGGATTCGGCGCTCTCACCGCCGCGGCCCGGGTTCGATTCCCGGTCAGGGAACTTCCTTTTCACCTCCATGCTGAACTTTGAGGAGTGGTTAACTTAATTGGCGAAGGCAAGAAAGCGGCTCTGAGCGCAAAAGATGTCCTTCGAGCCGGAGTCGAAGCAGCGACCTAAGGATTGCCATCATCCCACCTACAGTCCTCCGCTCTACCAACTGAGCTATCGAAGGCTTACGGGGCAGTTTCACAACCACATCCTATAAGGTAGCTGCAGACCGACCGCTGGCCAAAAAGGACAGAAGCAAAAGCACTCAAGCCTTCCCATACCGGGAGTCGAACCCGGGCCGCCTGGGTGAAAACCAGGAATCCTAACCGCTAGACCATATGGGAACTGCCACACTTGAAACCCAGTCTTGGCACAAACTCCAGTTCATTCTGATCGCTGGCACGTCCCTGCTCCGCTTGCACAAGTGCCACTCATACACTTACGCACTCTCTCATACACAGTTTCTTGGTTTCCGTAAACCGAGAATCTTCTGATCCGTAGTCATAAGCGCTAACCTTTGTGCCACCGTCACTCTGTTCAGCACCTTGTTAGCACTTTGCTTGAAGCAAGGACAAGGCTCTGTCAACCCGGAGTTCCTTCACCACACATTCTGCTTTGTTTTTATGGCAAGAGGTTGTGTGGATGGGATGCTCTTACAGGATTCCTGACAGTCCCTCCATAGAAGACCTGAGATCCAGGGTCGGAGACTCTCTCCTCTCCAAGAGTAGGTTAAAAGCAATGGTTTCTTTTGTGTCTGTGTGTCAGAGCCCTTAGGTGTTGCTGCAGCTCAGAGACCTACAAGTGGAGGAGATTACACTGCAAGTCGGCTGGATGACCTCTAAGTGGTAGGCACTTATACCGCACGTAGGCTGGGTTTGCGATTGATGTAGCTGTAGTAGACATTCCTAAAAATAAAAAAAATATATAAACTGCTTACTCTGAGGTTGTGTTTAGGGTTGGGGTAGGAGTAAAATTGAATAAAACACAGCAGGTTACCGTGTGGTTGGGCCTAGGGCTGGGGTAGGTGTGATTTTAATAAACTGCGATAGGTTGTATTCTGTGCCATGTTTGAGACATTGAATCAATGAAACCCACATGGAGGTTTGTTACTGTGAGGTTGGGTTAAGAGTTGGGGTAGGTTGGAAGGTTGATAAAACACAGCAGGAAACTGTGAGGTTGGTTTAAGGATTGGGGTAGGTTTGACATTCAAACATAACTGGTTGGACGCAGTGTCTTGTACCAGACATTAAATGAATGAAAACTCCAGGTTTTTACAGCCCACTTGGGGCTGACCAGGTCGTTTGGAGCAGGCTCCGATTTCTATTTATACCTTTCTCAGTCAGGTAACTTCCTTTTCAGTAGTATGAGCGTCTGCACTGTGTGGCATATTTGCCGACGTATAACAGAGACTGAAACATTGCTCACACTTGTCTGAGGTGGTCATTTTGACTGCAATCTTGTTTTAGGTTGGCACTTTGTTTTTGAATATTGTATGCTTTTCGAATGCGTATCTGTGCTGCAGTAGAACGCCTTAGCCTCACAGCAAACATTTTGGTTTACAAGCTGTCACTGCTGTCTTCCCATGAGAGTGGCTGTACTGGTTTCTTCTGGAAGTCCTGAGAGATGTACGGGACCAAGACATGAGAGCGGTTGGGGCAGCCTTTGAACCCAGGAGAGCACCCCACAGGCTCTGTGCTGGCGGCCCCAGAAACTCGATTCACTCCAGAGTAGAACCGAACAACTCCGGCAGGGGAAAACCGCGACCGCACTGCACTGAGAGCAATGCAAAAAAATCCTGAACGAGCCAGCCAGGAGTCGAACCTAGAATCTTCTGATCCGTAGTCAGACGCGTTATCCATTGCGCCACTGGCCCAGTCCGCATCGGCAGTGCTCATTAGCATGGTCCTTGGAAAGAGGACACGGCTCGGTGAACATGGAGTTCCTTAAAAGCATGCTTTGCTTTGTTGTCATGGCAAGTTGTGGTGTCGATAGGATGCTCTTACACCGAGCATGTGACAGTCCCTCCCAAGAAGAACTGTGATCCAGGCTCTGAGACTTTCTCTTCTCCGGGAGGAGGTTGCAAACGTTAGTTATTTTTGTCAGAGCAGCTGCAGCACACCTGGGTGGAGGCCCACAGTTAGACTTGAGGCCAACCTTTACGCACACCTTCCCTGGTGGTCTAGTGGTTAGGATTCGGCGCTCTCACCGCCGCGGCCCGGGTTCGATTCCCGGTCAGGGAACTTCCTTTTCACCTCCACGCTGAACTTTGAGGAGTGGTTAACTCACTTGGCAAAGGCAAGAAAGCGGCTCTGAGCGCAAAAGATGTCCTTCGAGCCGGAGTCGAACCAGCGACCTAAGGATTGCCATCATCCCACCTACAGTCCTCCGCTCTACCAACTGAGCTATCGAAGGCTTACGGAGCAGTTCCACAACCACATCCTATAATGTAGCTGCAGTCCGACCGCTGGCCAAAAAGGACAGAAGCAAAAGCACTCAAGCCTTCCCATACCGGGAGTCGAACCCGGGCCGCCTGGGTGAAAACCAGGAATCCTAACCGCTAGACCATATGGGAACTGCCACTCTTGAAACCCAGTCTTGGCACAAACTCCAGTTCATTCTGATCGCTGGCACGTCCCTGCTCTGCTTGCACAAGTGCCACTCATACACTTACGCACTCTCTCATACACAGTTTCTTGGTTTCCGTAACCGAGAATCTTCTGATCCGTAGTCATAAGCGCTAACCTTTGTGCCACCGTCACTATGTTCAGCACCTTGTTAGCACATTGCTTGAAGCAAGGACAAGGCTCTGTCAACCCGGAGTTCCTTCACCACACATTCTGCTTTGTTTTTATGGCAAGAGGTTGTGTGGATGGGATGCTCTTACAGGATTCCTGACAGTCCCTCCATAGAAGACCTGAGATCCAGGGTCGGAGACTCTCTCCTCTCCAAGAGTAGGTTAAAAGCAATGGTTTCTTTTGTGTCTGTGTGTCAGAGCCCTTAGGTGTTGCTGCAGCTCAGAGACCTACAAGTGGAGGAGATTACACTGCAAGTCGGCTGGATGACCTCTAAGTGGTAGGCACTTATGCCGCACGTAGGCTGGGTTTGCGATTGATGTGGCTGTAGTAGACATTCATAAAAATAAAAAAATATATAAACTGCTTACTCAGAGGTTGTGTTAAGGGTTGGGGTAGGAGTAAAATTGAATAAAACACAGCAGGTTACCGTGAGGTTGGGCCTAGGGCTGGGGTAGGTGTGATTTTAATAAACTGCGATAGGTTGTATTCTGTGCCATGTACGAGACATTGAATCAATGAAACCCACATGGAGGTTTGTTACTGTGAGGTTGGGTTAAGAGTTGGGGTAGGTTGGGAGGTTGATAAAACACAGCAGGAAACTGTGAGGTTGGTTTAAGGATTGGGGTAGGTTTGACATTCAAACATAACTGGTTGGACGCAGTGTCTTGTACCAGACATTAAATGAATGAAAACTCCAGGAGGTTTTTACAGCCCACTTGGGGCTGACCAGGTCGTTTGGAGCAGGCTCCGATTTCTATTTATACCTTTCTCAGTCAGGTAACTTCCTTTTCAGTAGTATGAGCGTCTGCACTGTGTGGCATATTTGCCGACGTATAACATAGACTGAAACATTGCTCACACTTGTCTGAGGTGGTCATTTTGACTGCAATCTTGTTTTAGGTTGGCACTTTGTTTTTGAATATTGTATGCTTTTCGAATGCGTATCTGTGCTGCAGTAGAACGCCTTAGCCTCACAGCAAACATTTTGGTTTACAAGCTGTCACTGCTGTCTTCCCAGGAGAGTGGCTGTACTGGTTTCTTCTGGAAGTCCTGAGGGATGTACGGGACCAAGACATGAGAGCGGTTGGGGCAGCCTTTGAACCCAGGAGAGCACCCCACAGGCTCTGTGCTGGCGGCCCCAGAAACTCGATTCACTCCAGAGTAGAACCGAACAACTCCGGCAGGGGCAAACCGCGACCGCACTGCACTGAGAGCAACGCAAAATAATCCTGGACGAGCCAGCCAGGAGTCGAACCTAGAATCTTCTGATCCGTAGTCAGACGCGTTATCCATTGCGCCACTGGCCCAGTCTGCATCAGCAGTGCTCATTAGCATGGTCGT